TTCCTGCTGTTCGAGACTGTTGCATCCTTCCCTTTCTTTCTCGCTTTCGATCTTCGTGTGAAAATGAAAGAGACAGCCACCAAAGAAATAAAAGAAAGTACTCCAAACAAAAAAGTGCTGAAAATGATCAATACCTTGTGGTCTTTGCTGGGAGTACTATTTTTCAGTGATGTGATTCTGCAATGCGGCAAATCTTTTGCATCACCGCATAAATGTTTGTTGTAGCTATATGTCTCTGGTGGAGCAAGGCGAAAAAACTCACCATCAGGAACCGGACCTTCCAAGTTATTGTGTGAAAAATCAATGGAAGTTAAGGCAGTCATCTTGCTGAATGAAGGAGGAATGGAACCAGAGAACATATTGCGTGAAAGGTTCAAATTTTCCAACATGATCAATTTTCCAAGCTCTGAAGGTATCTTGCCAGAAAGTAAATTTTGACTAAGATCAAGAGAACCATGCAAGGCAAGATCGCCAATCTGAAATGGGATAGAACCATTGAAGTAATTTGAAGATAACAGCAGGATATTCAATTTCAGGCATTTAATAAGTTGTGGTGGGATAGGCCCCATCAGTTTGTTGGCTGAAAGGTCAAGTTTGTCAAGACTGGAAAGTCCTCCAATCTCACAGGGAACCCGACCGGAAAGTTGATTGTTGCTCAAGTTAAGGTTATTCAGAGTCGATAATCTCCCCAAATCTTTTGGTATCTCTCCAACTAGCTGGTTTGAAGATAGGTCAAGCACACCTAGTTGTTTCAAATTGCCAAGTTCACCAGGAATGTTACCGGTGATTGCATTCCCAGAGATCTTTAGCTGAGTGAGATTTTTGCAGCCACCCCAGTTAGGGGAAAGCACCCCCTTCAATCTGTTGTAGCTCAATTCAATGTAAATGAGATTCGGATACACCCCAAAGTCTTGGTCTAAATTTCCTGTGAGTTGGTTATTTTGGAGTCGAACTCTAACAAGGCTTGTGCAGTTTCTCAAGCTTTTCGGCACTGGACCTCTAAAGTTGTTATGAGCTGCAGTGAATTTTTGAAGTGGAGCTTTTTGACAGAATTCTGGCAAGGGACCAGAGAAGTTGTTCCCACTAAGAAGAACTACATATAGAGAGAGATTTGCTAACCCTTTAGGCACTGTACCTGAGAGTTGATTGTCAAACAACCGCAAATCGTCTAGCTTCTCGCAACTGAGCAAACTACGAGGAAAGGGTCCTGAAAGTTCATTCTGGTGTAAAAACAAAGTGGTTAACTCACTCAGGTTACCAAAAGATGGAGGGACAGGACCGCTAAGATGGTTGACATGTAAAGCCAAAGCTTTTAAACGTTTGAGATTTCCTATTTCAGAAGGAATCACACCATGAAATCGATTATTTGCCAAAGCTAGCTCTTTGAGATTTGTAAGATGCCCAATTTCTGGTGGAATCATTCCTGTGAAATTGTTGTTCTGGAACTCTAGATATTGAAGCTTAGTCCAGTTGGAGAATAAACGTTGGTTTAGCTCACCACTGATCATGTTATTTCCCATGTAGAGTAATGAAATTTGTGTGAGGTTAGCAAGTGAAACAGGAAGAAAACCGGAAAGATAATTCATTGAGAGATTAAGGTAGGCTAGTTTTGAGAGCATACCAAGCTGTGGTGGAATGTGCTCTGTAAGATTGTTGTCACTAAGATTGAGTGAAACAAGGCTAGGAAATGACGAGAAATCTAAGTTACTGAGATTACCTCCAAAGAGTGCACCTTGTAGGTTTATTGATGTAATGCTGCCATCTTTGTTGCAAGAAATTCCAAACCACTTGCAGTGGCTATGGCTATGGCTGGTCAAGCTCCCATTGTTCAGCTCCAGGGTCCAGGACTGCAGAGAGGATTGATTGAGGGTTTCTTTCCATCTCAGAAGAGCCATAGCTTCTGCATTCGGCTTTGCTTGAACATATGACACTAGACACCAAAAACTGAGCAGTTCAAGCAGAGACAAAAATTTGCTGGAGCAGGCCATGGTTGAGGTGTGTGTAGTACTTGTAATTAATGAAGCATATACTTATAAAACCATTCATGCACCTTTCTTTATGCAGGCAGTGACTCGAAATCTAAGTAAAAAATGTGTGTGGTGTTACAAATTAAAAGGCAGGGATGATTTATTAACTATATATCCATGATAAGGTTTTATTAGTTATTATTAATTATATTGTATTACATTAAAACAAATCATAAAAAAAAGAGAGAGAGACTCCATTCCACATAAGGAAATGATTTATTTCTAATTAAAATTCTTTAACTCCATATAAGAAGATTATTTATTTTTTTAGTTAAAAATACTTATACTCCATCTATGGAAAGGATTTGTATTTTTTATATGACATTCAAGACTAATATGTTAAGTCAACTATAAAAAGATACAAACTAAACATTAATATAATTTCTTCAAACTTAAATTAATTTGTCTTTCTGTTATATGTTTATTTTTGAATCACAAAAGCTTTTAAATAATATAATATAATCATATTAAATCACTCATTACCTATATATTATTACCTTATTGACACTAAATTTTGGCTATCAAAACTCTAAAAATACTTAAAAATAGGTTAAACAAAAGCCAGTGATTGAATCCTAAAATAATAAAATTTATTAGATTATACCAAAATTACATCAAGATTTAGAGAATTATAAAATTCATTGGATTTGAAACTAATAAGATTATTTGGCTTTAGATTAAATGATTTGTATGTTTTAATAGAATCTACTAATTTTCCAAAAGACTCCTTAATCAAAACGTCGTATAAATTTATATGTTTGACTATATCTGCAATACATATATAGCTCACATATATAGATTTTATTTCAAAAAACTTTTAGAGAAAAGTTACACGACTATATAGTTTTGTTTGGAGTAGATGCTTTTATTTTATAATATCAAATTAATAATATTAATATATGAGATCTATTTTCTTTATCAGGTTTTATTTTTTTTAGAGGTTTTTCAAGAGTTTTCAATTATATATATTACTAGAAATAATTATCAAATAAAAACAATAATTTAAGATTCGCCATATATTTAATTATATTTTTCCATCATAAAATCAAACAAATTTTATTTTTAAATAATAATGACAATATGAGTGTTTTTTTTAATTGAAACAATTGCTTACATAGATTGTAAGGGAAAAAAATGAAACTCTCTTTATCCTTTTAATCATACAAAAATTCTAAAGATATTTTTATTAGCTCATATATATATATATATATATATGAGCTTTGTTTTTCAAACTATTAACTATTAAATCAATTCATGAAAGATTAGTAAAAAAACTAATATTAAATATATAGTTAAATACATGTGCAAAGTAAGTGAAAAAAAGAAAAACTAAATATTGCTTTAAAGTTAGGGGGGGCATTAATATATTGTCTTTGTTAGAGTTCAATGAACGGTTGAATCAATTTTTAAGAGTCATTTACTTGTTTAAAGTTATTTAATATTTTAAATTAACTTTTAATTTTCTTATTTTATAGAACTTAGGAAGTATCCTAAATGTATTGGTTGGCTTTTGCCTTCTTATTCCTACAACTTTTCTTTTCTTTTTTTCTCCTTCAAAAAATTACTAGTAAACTTAATTGACAATAATCAAATAGTAAACATCAATTAATTAGGAGGAGAGGATTTAATAGATTCGAATCTTACAACGGACATTTCTCAACTCCCAAATGTGTGATTAACTGGAAATTTTAATTTGACTAACTTTTCCTCCTAGTAGTTTAACTTTTGGAAATTGTCCCAGTGTGATGATAATTATTTTTTTTAAATAGGTTAAAATAATATTTTTTTTATTTTTTAAAATATTTTTAATATTAATTTAAAATAAAAAATAAAAAAATTTAATTTTTTCAAAAATATTTTTAAAACATAATATCACGGTGAACAGCATACACATTATATACATTATATATATATAATGTGTATGCTGTTCACCTATATAATGTGTATATGTAAAAGTACCCTCTTCCATGGAAGAATTATTGGGGTTGTCTGGAGGCATTATCTACTGCCATTAATATATTCAATTTGTTTTATTGAATTTCAAATGATCAAGATCTTTTGATATTCTATTCAAGTTCATCTATCTTCCATTTCTTCTTAGCACTGTCCCGATTCATACTCAAAGCATTGACATTGTGGACTTCTCCAAAATTAGTCTGCGGACCACACGAACCAAAAAAACAAAAAGGAAAGCGATTCTTCGATGCATAAGACCATTTGGTGCCGGTCGTAATTGGACAGGGGATTCTTACCGGTGTTAGGAATGGTCTTTTCTTGTGTTGGCATTGTAACTGGTCATCTCATTCATCTTATCAAGCAAGCCAGACTTACTCGAATGCAAGTGAAAGTGCTACTCTAGCGTACCAAAAACTTTTAGTTGGAAATTAAGCTCAATACAAGAAGCAAGTTGACACAGCTAGGAAGAAGAAAATTAATTGATGTGCACAAGCTGATACAGTAGTAAATAAAAAAATTCAAGCCCTGATGTTCCATAGAAGTAGATAGCTTGTACACCGGTCTAGAACGGCATTAGTTGCCATCTTTGGGTTTAAGGAAGGCAGAATGGAAGTTGATTAGGAAGTCTAGACAAACTTGTGGTTACAACTTTCAACTCGGATTTTGTTGGTCTCTTGTTTCTCTCAAGATGTTTCATTTCGATCCTCTCTTTATCAAATTTAGAAAAAGATAGGATGACACAAATCATTACCCAGCCCCATTAAGTATAAAGGAAAAAATACACTTTGATCCTTAAATTTTATGATTGTTTGATTAGGTCCAAAAACAAAACTCTCCTTGTAGTCTTGAACTTTTTTTTTTTTTTTTGATAAGCAATATTAAAATGCCATAAAGAGAGGCAAAAATGAAACAAAAATGTATCTGCATAATCTATTAGTCGGAAGATAACATGGACTAAGAAAGATTGCATCACCAGGAAAATCAAAGCCAAGTCACATAGTCACAACTTCCACTCACACTTTCTTTTGCAAAACCATCAGTCATATGGTTGGCATCGTGCAGAACATTAGAGAAAGACACAGAGCCCAAATGTGAAGAAACTCTAGATGCAAGGAGAAAAAGCTCATGAAATCTCTAAGACTTATTAGAAGGCTTATTCATCAAGTTAACCGCAACAACATAATCATATTCAAAGATGAACTTTACTCCAATAAAATCACATGAAGAGAAAAAACCAAGAGCCAAGCCTTTATGAATGCAAAGAACCCTTCCAAAACCAGCAAGTCTATGTTTTCCAATACAAGAACCATCAACATTCCATTTTAGCATATGAGATTTAGGGGGAGACCATTAAATAGGAGCTCTAGCACTCTTGTTATTTATTGAACCAAACCATCAGCAGAGAGTAGCAAAATCGAGAGCACAATTTTTTTTTTTTAAATCAAATAATAAAGCTTAATCCATATACACAGTCTTAATAAACATTTAATAGTTTTACCGACAGATCCAATTTATCGGTTTAAGATTGCAACTTTGTCTGTAAAACTAAATTGCCGGCGAAAATAGTCCTTCGGCATAACATTTGTCAGTAATTTGACATTTTGTTGCTAACAAAACAAATAAAATACTGATGGTTTTATAGACAGAAAATGCACGTTAGAAAAAAAATTCCCTCTAGAAATATACCAAAGGAAATATTCCGTCGGTGAACGTGGAATATATGGTAAATATTTTTCAACTCTCAGTAAAATACTGGCAAACCGTATTCATTGGTATAGACATCTTTTTCAACTCTCGGCAAAATACCAATAGACTATTTCTGTTTGTAGAGACGTCAGTGTTTGTAGAATTTTCAGTAAATATTTTTCAACTTTGTACAATACTGATAGATTGTTTACGTCTGGAAATCTATTGGTGGTGTTTTTATTTTTTTAAAATATTATTTAGATTAAATAATATAAAATTATATAAATTAATAGTAAAAAAACTAATTATGCAAATAAAATTATATTAAACATAATAAAATGTAAAAATAAAATTAAATAATATTCATCTAAATATTGATTACAAATTTAATGTGTTTACAAAAAAAAAAAAAAATTAAAACAGTGATGGAGTTGGAGGAGGAGAAAGAGGAGGTTGGTTGTTCCTAGCACTAAATGGCCAAAAAGATGGTGTATATGGATCACCCATCTGTGATCAAATATTCATAACCATTTAGCGGAGTTATTCATAATTCGCTAAGAGGCACTTTTATTGTTATTGCCAAGCCAGAAACTCCTTAAATTGGATGCCCGATATTGATTAGGAGCTGCTAACGGTTGAGACACTATGAGTCGCCCACAAATTCTCAATCGTAGTGTTGAAGAGCCCATAAACTTAATTTTTATTGGGTCTACCAAATGATTTTACCTCCATCCATAAATCTAGATTGAAATCTGAATAGGTCGAAGAATCATCCTCATATCTCTCCCTCAACCGGCTATTATAGGTTTCCTGAAAATTAAAAAAGAAATCATCATATTCAATTCAAGAAAATAATAACTTATAAAATAAAATGGTTGAGCAAACATAACATGAAATGTTGAGCGCAGTTGTCAACGAATTGTTGTACTCCCTTTTGACAATCTTCACTCTACCTGTGCATCCCTATAAATAGCTCCATTAAGCTCGACTCACGTCCAAGAGACATAGCTAGTGTGCGTGGTTACCAAACCATGAATTTGTTGGTTTTGGTTGTTGGCACCGAACTATGAGCATCGTGTGAACCACTCAAATGTCACGTGTTCAATATCTTACAGCCATATATCCTGTGAGATGTATGGTGGCTTGTAATCCCTTCAAATCACCACGTCATTTCAGCCTTGTAAATCGTTCTCTCTCACGTATTTTTTTGGCTTTTTTTATGATTTGTACAAAAAATTACGCAACCTACTTTCATATTGACAAATAAGATTTTAAAACAATTTTTTTTAAAAAAACAAATATCATATTATTTTTTATGTTACCTAATTGTCGGGTGATTTTCTCATATCCTCTTCGCAACATTATCAAGCGTGT